CCTGTTACTTCACAACAACAGAAAATAAACAGGCCAGGGGCCTTTTTGAAACTGGACTTTGTCTTGACCTGGTTTTCTTACCCTAGAGGGCTGTGCGGTTGCCAAAATATATATATATATATATATATATATATATATATATATATGGCATTGTACATATTTTGTTTTTGTATATTATATCCTTTGGTTTTCTTTAATACATATTTTCTTGATTGCTCCATTCATCGTGTCCTTATTTCTCTGCTAAGTTGGTTCCCACATTTAACCCCTTAAGGACACATGACATGTGTGACATGTCATGATTCTCTTTTATCCCTGAAGTTTTTTTCCTTAAGGGGTTAAAGGGACAGTGCTGTCGCAGGGCAGCATCCCTTCATGTCCTTACATCCGGTTTGTGAATAGATTTCCACACAATGGTTTGTATTGGCCACAGATATATTTGTATACTGTTATCATATCCCCTCTGTAATGGCACCCTCAGCATAAAAGGGGTTAAACCGCCGTTTAGGAGATCTTCCCCTTTCAGAGATGCAAGCACAGCTACTGCAGAACACCAAACTCCCGAACAGGATACAAAATAGTACTCCAACTCCCGAACTGGAACCTCCCAAATAGCTGCTAGCAGATGAACAGGAAAAGCAGACAATCAGCTTACACTCCTGGCAATTAGTCTCTAACAGCATACAGTGAATCCCCCCCAAGAACGAGACAATGCTCCGTGTTGAGGGTCAAGCAGTGGTCTGAGGTGCTAGCACACCCAGCCTGGTTTTTATTACAGTGCTTTCAAATACAGGACCGCCCACAGGGAGGTATAAAACAACCAATCACATATCAGTTACATCCCACATATTCCCTCCCCTTATCCTGAGAGGAAACTCAATTACACATACAGTTAAAACATACTTTCTACCCAACATCACATTCACATACAATTACATATTCACAATCAATCCATTCAGGGGAACAACATATTAAAAAAATGTCATGAATCCGACCAGGGGTTCAAAAGTTAGTAAAAGTATATTTTGGGCCCTGGCTGGCACATGGCTATCTGGCTCAAACAGGTTTTACAGAGCCCTCTATCCTGTAGACAATGGGGGAAAGTAATCCAATTATCCAGGGATAGAGGCAGACTCCATTGAGCACATGGTTGCAAAAAGACATAAAACACTTTAAAATACATAAAGTCACCTTTTACACATAACACACAGACATTTCACATATCCCCAGCTAGCTGGCATCTGAGCACACAAAACTACCGAATAGCGCTCAGATCCTATTCACACAGTTCAATTGCCATGGAGCCAAAGTCTTTAACTACACGAATGGGCTCCATGGCATAGCTATCTGGGTTAACACATTTACATAAAGTCTGGTCCATATTCCAAAGGCAGCAGGCGGGCAGCCAGGCTTCTCCAATGCAATGTGGCGAGATTGCTCTTGTCACACCCTCTCAGGCGACATTTTTCTAAACTAAATAGGTTTAAATTTGTTAACCTTTCTTCATAGCTGATATGTTCCATTCCTTTTATTAATTTTGAAGCTGGCCTCGGCACTTTTTCTAGTGCCATAATATCCTTCTTTAGAACAGGTGCCCAAATTTGCACAGTATATTCAATATGTGGTCTTACCAGTGATTTATAAAGAGGCACACTTATATTCTCATTTCGAGAAATAATGCCCTTTTTCATGCATGACAATACCTTACTGGCCTTGGCCACTGTTGATTTACATTGCACATTGTTGCATAGTTTGTCTATGACAATTCCCAAGTCATTTTCATGTGTTGTTATTCCTAATTGGCTTCCATTAAGGGTATACGTTGCACGTGTATTTGTTATGCCGAATTGCATAACTTTGCATTTTTTAACATTACATTTCATCTGCTATTTGAGTGCCTAGTCCCCCAGTCTATCTAAATCCCTCTGCAGCAAAGTAATATCTTGCTCACATTGTATTATTTTACAGAGTTCTGTGTAATCTGCAAACACTGAAATATGACTTTCAATGCGGTCTTCAAGATCATTTATAAACATGTTAAATAGAAGGGGTCCCAGAACAGACCCCTGAGGGACACCACTTGCCACCTCTGTCCAGCTTGAAAATTTACCATTAACACCAACTCTTTGTACTCTATTTTTAAGCCACTATTCTACCCAAGAACAAGTATTTTTATCTAGACGGATTTCCTTGAGTTTGAACAGTAATCTATTGTATGGAACTGCTTCGTAGAACACAATCAAGTTAGTTTGACATGACCTGTGCTTCATAAAACCATGCTGATTTGTGCTGATAACCATGTTCTTCTTAAGGAATTCTTGAATATTATCTCTTAATAACCTTTCAAATGTTTTCCCAGCCACAGAAGTTAAGCTCACAAGTCTATAATTTGCAGGCAAAGATTTTGAACCCTTTTTGAATATAGGAACCACATCTGCCCTCCTCCAATCCTCTGGAACACTTCCCGAATCTGATCCAGAACCATTCCTACATGAGCTAGGTGGTCCTTCCAGGACTCACTGTGGATTGCTATATCATCCAGATATGCGCAAGCAAAACTCTGGACTCCATCCAGGAGCCTATCCACCAAGCGCTGGAATGTAGCTGGAGCATTACCTTAAAATGGTATAATCCGAACTGGGTGACGAATGCCAACTTGGGGATAGCCTCCTGGGTCAGGGGAATTTGCCAATAACCCTTGCAGAGGTCAATGGTAGTTAGATAATTTCCCCTGGCTATTCGATCACGTAGCTCGTCTACTCTGGGCATAGGGTATGCGTCTGTCATGGTTTTCTCATTAAGTTTCTGATAGTCCACACAAAACTGGGTAGTCCCGTTTTTCTTGGGCACTAGGACCACTGGGGAAGCCCATGGGCTATCGGAAGACTCAATGACCCTTAGTTGGAGCATCTCATCGATCTCCTTTTTCATCTCTGTCCGAACTGCCTCTGGGATTCGGTATGGTGCCTGCTGTGAGGGGGTTTGCCCTGGGGTATCCACCTGGTGGGTGGTCAAGGTAGTGTATCCAGGTTTCTGAGAAAAAGTGGGGCTTTTGGCTTGAAGTAGCTGGTTAAGCTGCTCCCTTTCAGTGGGGTTAAGTCGGTCTCCTATCTTGACCTGGGACACTATGTTTGTGCGGTATGAGTAGGCTGTCTGGGTCTTCGTGGGGGGGGACAGCATACCGCTATCACGTTCTCAGGTCACTCGAAATATTCTTTGAGCATATTTACATGGAATGTCTTTCTAAGGTTGTTGTCGTGGCAGCTGGCAATCACGTAAGTGGTGTCTCCCCTCTTTTCTACTACTTGGTAGGGCCCCTGCCAGGAGGGTTGGAGTTTGTCTGTCTTAACCGGCTTAAGTACCAATACCTTTTGCCCTATGGTAAAGATTCTCTTCCGTGCCCCCCAATCATACCATACCTTCTGTCTCCTCTGGGCCGACTGGAGGTTAGCCTGAACGGATTTGGCTAATTGCTCCTTTCGGTCCTGGAGTTCTAGCACGTATGGTACAATGGGGACACCGTCAGTCTCTATCTCTCCCTCCCAGTGCTCTCGGATCAGGTTTAGGGGTCCCCGTACCTTGCGTCCATATAGCAACTCGAAGGGAGAGAACCCTGTTGTTTCCTGGGGCACCTCCCGATAAGCAAATAGGAGGTGCGGCAGAAACCGTTCCCAGTCTCTGTACTCCTGGGTGAACGTTTTGAGCATTTGTTTGAAGGTCCCATTGAACCTCTCACAAAGCCCATTTGTCTGTGGGTGGTAGGGAGAGCTCAGGAGAGACTTAATCTTGCAGACTTGCCAGAGTTGCTGTGTCAATTCGGCTGTAAACTGGGTGCCTCGGTCAGACAGGATTTCCTTTGGGAATCCTACCCGAGAGAAAACCTGAACCAGCACATTAGCTACCGTATCCGCTTGAATGTTACATAGGGCTACTGCCTCCGGGTACCTGGTCGCGTAGTCGACTATGGTAAGGATGTATCGCTTACCGGAGGGAGTAGGTGTAGCCAGTGGCCCTACTAAGTCTATGGCAACCCTGCTGAATGGCTCCTCTACAATGGGCATATTCACCAAGTTTGCCTTAGGGTGGTCACCTCTCCTCCCTACTCTCTGACACACATCGCATGTACTACAATAGGTTCGGACATCAGAGTGTACCCCTGGCCAAAAAAAGTGTGAGTGATGTGGTTAAGTGTGCGGGTCACAGCTAGGTGGCCTGCTAACGGAATGTCGTGTCCTACCCTCAGTATTTATTGGCGGTATTTGTGGGGCACCACCAGCTGTCGTCTATTCTGTCCCTGTTTCTCAGTCAAGCGATACTGCTTCCTTTTTTCCCATAAGAAGGTTTCATTATCTAGCCCGCCCCCTCCAGTCTCTGCCCTTTCTCTGTATTTTGTCAAGGTCGGGTCGGTCTTAGACTCGGTCTCAAAAGTAGTTGGGGTGTCCCAGGGGATGGGAACTAAGGGGTCAGTCCAGCTCGGGGTAAGTCTTACCTGTGTCTCCTGCACGGGTGAGGGTTCTCGCTGCATCTGGGCTTGTGCTCGAGTAGTCACCGGATTTACTTCATTTTTGTATGCTGGAGCATAGGCAGAAGTCATGGGGCCCAAACCGTTGCCTAGTAATACTTCTGCAGGCAAATTATCCATTATGCCCACGTTCACGGCCCCTTTCCCCGCTCCCCAATCAAGATGTACTTTAGCGGTAGGAATCTTATAGACATCTCCCCCTGCCACTCTAACAGCCACAGTCTGTCCTGATCGTTTATGTTCCGGCACCAAATGGCTCTGGACCAGTGTAATGGTAGCACCAGTATCCCGTAGCCCCTCGGTGGAGCGACCCTCGAGCCATAACTTCTGCCGGTGGTGTTGGCGATTATCTAAAGCGGCATATACAGGATCAGCTTCGTGGAGCGGTCCCAAATATTCCTCCGTAAGTCTATGGCAACCCTGCTGAATGGCTCCTCTACAGAGTGCCCTGGCAGGACAAGATGACCCGGGAGGGTAGTTATAATTCCGGGAGGTCTGATGTGTGTTGAGAGGGCAGCTTGCCATGAGTTGGTTGTTTGCATCTGAAACACGTTGGTCGGGGACGGTCAGAGGGGTTGTTAGTGGGTGGTCCTGAGTATCGTATGGGCCCAGCGGGTACCGGGGCTCGGAAATCGGTGCGGGGAGACGTACAATAATTGTCGCTGTGTTCGACTCGTGCCACGGTTCGGTAGTTTGTCGGTTCGTGTAAACGGGAATCATAATGTTCGTCGGCCAACTTGGCCGCTTCTTCTAACGTAGCAGGTCGTCTGTCTCGCAGCCATTCCTTTCCCTGTTGCTCCATGCCATTATAGAAGTGCAAAATTTCCTCAGCGGTCACGGCTTTACTCCCGCTCATTCAGTGATTTACTGCCCTTCGCATTTGGTGCGCCCATTCCATATGCGTATCATTGGGCTTCTTTTTCGTGCTACGAAATTGTCAGCGATACGTGTCAGGAGTCACAGCGTATCGTCACTTCCTCAGCACTTAAAGTCCGAAACGCTTCCAGTTCTCACCCCGGATAACTTTCCAGACAATATCGTAGGCCACTCTTGGTTGGGGATCTGGTGCAGTGCGCATTGCCGCTCAAAATCGGCCAAATATTTGTCAATTCCTGTCTCGTTCTCCAGGAAGGGTCTAAAAGCCGCATAGGGTATTTTTGGCCTCCCGGTGTTCTCTGCAGGAATTACGATCGGTAATGCTTCGGCGTGTCGTTGTGCGGTCACTAGGTTGAGCTTGTGGGCTCTAGCTTTCCGTATGTCCTCGTCTGCTTCCGCCATCAGTTGTTGCACCAGTTCCATAGAGGGGTTCAGCCCATATAGTGAAAGCCTCTCCCGAACAATCCTGTTTTTCCGTCACTACTCGTGGTTGGGGTTTCTGCCATTGTGAAGCTCTGATCCAGTTCGGTTAATTCTGCGATTAACTCCCTCCTCGGACGGTTGCTGGCGTTCCCCCCTCGGCTTTCGAGTAAGTCCTTTAAGGTCGTGCGTTTCAATTTGGAATAAGCGCTCTCCATCCGTTCGGTATCTCTCCTAGGAAATCCAGGACAATCCCACCGCTAGCACCAAATGTTACGGTTACCCCCAGGCTTGCTGGACCGCTTGGATGATCTGGATCCCGGTGTGGAGAGAGGGAGAAGCCGCTTCGACTAGTCGACCAAAAGGATCCTGCAAATGTAGGACAGCTAGGATACCCTTTTCCCCACAAAACGAGTTGAGGCTGTGATGTGAACGTCAAACAAGAACTGGCTTTAATGGCACACAGGGGTCGTATTTATGCAAAATCTCAGGTCCAGGGAGAGCCCACTCTGGACCTGATGGGAAACAGGAATAATACAGGGGATCAACCACTCAGAATGAAATGCATCATTTGAATTTGTTACCGCCCAGCTTGGCGATAATGAACCCAACGGCTATGCCAATACAATTATCTCCATGTGTCCAAAATACCACGTTTTTATTACACATCAAAAACAGGTTAAAAATATATAACTTCACCATTTTCAGCTATACTTCGGGACTTCTACCATTCATTCTGTAGCCCAGGTCCGTGTGCAATATTTCACCGAATAGCGCCTCAAACCCACGAACCATATGCTTGGTTTCTTCGTTGCAAAGTCCGTTCGCATATTTGGTCCCGAGCTTGAGATGGCGGCCATGTTTTTGAGTGAGTCAATAGGCAGCAGGACCTCGGCATCAAACTTGTGGAACAATTATCGGCCTGAGTTGTGCACGAATCCCCGCTCTCTGGCTGGATCTTTCAGCTGTTCGGGAAACGAACGTAGACCGCCGTGAAGGGGGTACTTAACCTGCAGTTAACCGCAACACTCAACATTCTAATTGAGGCCACACGCCAGGCTGTAGGTGGTCCCCTTTTCAGTAGTTAGACCATCGGGAGATAAGGCACGAACGTGGATGCCCGGAACCGTCAATTAACCTGCGGTTAACCACAGATCACAACTCCCTGGGCGATCAAGTGGTAACACACTCCCCTCGCCGGTTGGTCGGTTTGTTCGGTTGTTTGAAGGGTGACCGGGGTTAAGTGGCGGCACATGCCAGGGACCGGTTGGTCCGTTATTTGTGTAACGAATTGGTGTGAGTAATCCGTTCGTGAGTTGGGTACAGGATTCACGTACCGAAGCAAAATTATAACCACGAAACAACATAATGCTGGTCTGTAATGAGTTTGTAACAGTCTTATTCTATCACTCATGGACTTGGTACTGTTCTGAGGCAGTCATCACATTTTTTACCATGTGTTATGGCCAATCTGTATACTTCCTCCCATGATTGGTATATTACTTATCTGGAGGACGATCAACTATTCACTAAACCTTTTTTGTAACACGCCACACTCCTATGTTCAGTATTTGTATCATCATGTTCCCTGGGACAAACCCTAGTGTACCAGGCTTTACCATACCATCATATGTTCCCCCTGACTTTATGTCAAAATAATCACGTATTATGCACTAAAGGTTATTTACTCATTGCTGCTATATTCTACTCAAGCAAGTTCATCATCCTAACTGACCCTTGCTATTCAGGCATAGTATCATGAAACCTACAGCAACTCCACTCTAACTGTTCTATGTTACATCAGCTAACGCTGGCATGCAATTCCTCCGCCAGCCCGTACACAGGCCCACGTCTAGGGATCCTTAATTCCCCACACATTCACCCCCATTCCCATGCTGGCACGACATTAATTAAATTTTCTAAGTCCTACCAGGATAGCTCAAAACTGCCCTCATAGCTTGGTATTCCATATCCCCCTATATTTATTTTAGCTTCAGAAGTCACAGGACCAATTAGCGGTCACTCATGACTCTGCCTATCCCCCAATATTGTCGCAGTATTGGTTAATCACTCCCCATGGTCTCTGGTAGTGGCCTAGGATCCTTACCCTACTCATTTATAGGGATATTTGATTTATGTCCTATGAATCTTGTATCCACCATCGCAGCGTCAGGATTCTAACAACTATGTCCTCAGGTTACCTATACATAGACCAGCCTCAAGAACAACCACCCCGATTATACAGGCGTATTTCGTTCACAGTAAGTCAAGCCCAATTCCAGTTCCAACTTGCCTCCCACCATCATTTCCCTTTAGGTTCTCCAATATCTAATTCCCCTGGCAAGGAAACCACATTCTACCCCAAGCAAGGTATGTTTACCCACCTCGCTACTACCCATCACCCGTCCCATTCTCGCATCCAGTATGTCAACTGACTGCCTGGTACCCAGCTATGCCAGTAACTAGCCTCATCATTATCACTTCCGTGAGGCCAACACCCATCTTCATCCGCATATGGAGGTATACGCCCCTCGGCCCAACACACAGCTAACTCCTCATATCAACCTCTCCAGGTTACGAATTAGAGCCTCACCCAGCATGGCCTCTTATTGACTCTCTTTACAGTCCCCGAGAGGCCAACGTTCTTGTCACACCTTTCAGTGGACCCTGCCCACTAGGCCAATCACATGAAGTCAAACAGTTGATATCCACTCTACTTGCCTCCATACATAACATCAACGATGGACTACAGAGACTGGAATCTCCACAGGCACTGACGCACATCCCAGCCACAGGACTCCCAAATCCCTCTCATGGTTATGTTATCCTTTCAAATCCCGCCCATAGCGCATCGGTTTACATTATTACTCCCTCATACTTTGTGTCCCTGACCATACACAGAGACATCTGGAAAGGTTAATTTTAGTCTCCTTACTGATTGCCTCCCACACTGTTTTAGAGTACAGTCTTACTACCACGATGATCTGTACGTCGTTCTATACACTAGAATCCCAGACTCAATTGGAAACTCACTATCCCAGATTTCATCCTAGCCTTCAGACTTTCGTGACGTAAGTGGCTCTACTTCTCCTCACCATAGAGCAGGTTTGCATCGACAACCTGTAGTTTTACCTATAAGCACACCCTTTCCGTCACTCAGTCGACTTCTACATCAAGGTTTCCACACACCAGTTCCACACAGGTCTGGTCACACTCCTGTCCGGTATTCACGAGTGTCAGAACCTTCAGTCTGCATTAATAGACCCTGCAACACAATCACGTTGCTTAAGAAGGTATTTGACAACCATATTAATTACCCCCCTAGCCTCAACTAATTGATTTACTCTAAGGAATTCTCCCAGCACTATGCCAAAGTGGTTGACTGGAGCAAGACAGACATTTCCTATGCCTCCAAGCTTCTACCTATTCAGCCATCCCGAGGGCATGTTCGTGGCATTTTATGGAGGGATTGTCATGACTTTCCTACACTTGTAACTTTTTAAGAGCAAAGAGTAACCCCAAGCTGTTTGTCTTATTTGCTAACACACTATGTTGACTAACACTCAATATTAGCGAATGTCCAGCAGTCACCCGTTATCATAGATAACATCCTCGCGATAGAACGCCCTCACTCCGCTCTGGTTAGTATTCACAAGACGATGGCACTTTTCATCACTAGGGGTTTCACTTCCACAAACTGACCTTCTTAGGCATTCATCTTGACACTAATACGCTACAGAGAAGGTACAGCGCATCGGAGTCTGGGGAAACTTTTGTTCTGAAGAACACATGGGGGGGAGGGAATGGTTCTACAGTCCTACTGGGCACATTGAAGTTCACCATGAGAATTATTCTGCACATTTATTTTCCAACCGCTGAGTCTTCTTCCCACCAACAGTTGCATTCTGGCACTAGTTGTAAGCAGACCTACACATATGGCTCAGGTTCATACCACACTGGGATAGGAGGCCAGGTTATTACCGCCATTTCACCAATGCGTCCGTGCACACTGATTTCTCAACCAATTTGGTGACTTTTGGTTCTGAGATGCCTGGCCAGTTGAGACTCTTGAGAAATAAAAAATAAAAAATCTTTCCATTCCTCGTCAACATTTCTTTGGAATCTACCCAGTAGTGGCCGCCTACAAGGCCTGGGGAAGTATGAGTGGATAGGGGAACCTGTCAAGTGCTTCTCTAACAATAAAGCAGCTGGCTATACCCACATTCCATGGCTTAATCCTGCACAAACTTGCCTCATGCCATTTGGCAGATTTCTGGATTGAGCTGCCCTCTCTGATTATACATCATGAGCATGCAATAGAGATTTCACCTTTACAACAAGTTTACCACCGATTACCACAATACCGATATTTGTTCAATAGCCGCCATTGCGACACTCCTCTCCTTTTTGCCCACACAATTTAAAAATCTCTCTTAACACTACAAATCTTACCTGGATGGAATACAACACCATATCTTAAGTGTCTCCTAGTACCAAACAGTTCACATCCTCTTACCATATGTAGTACGTAGGGACATAAGGACTATCCTACGGACAATAAGGTGCCGGTCAAAATGTCAGACCTTTACAGGTTATCACTGACTGGACCAAATCTCAATATGTCCCTATTTAACTGCAGGGCAAACCACTCACTACAGCTAAATTCATAATGTACCTCAGAACCCTATAAACTAGGCAGGGACGCAACCTCAATGCCTTTTCGGGACATTCCTCCAGAATCAGGAGAGCATCAGCTGCTTCCAGACAAATGTCCCTACTCACAGCATAAACATTAGGATGCTGGAAATCCACAGTATATTACTAGATACATACCACAACCAGAGCTAGAGTTGAGAAAGACAAGCCTTTACGAATCTTGCAACGTAAAGATATGTAATAAGGTATCTTATTCAACTTTTTGCCCTCTTTTATTACAGGCCTACCCGATACGTCTGTTTCGGCACACCACAACCGACTTGCTCATATATCTGACTTATCATGTATACAGCTTTTGCCCCTGACTACAAATTGGAAGGCATAGCCTTAAGTTGTGGGAGGGGTTACCCGGCTATTTAAACTCAGGCCCCCTACACCACAGGGCTGATGCTGCCTGGTTCATCCCTCCCACCTCTCCCCTTATACATATTACTATTACAGGTGGGCCCTCTTTTATTACAGGCCGACCCGATACGTCGGTTTCGGCACACCACAACTGACTTGCTCATATATCTAACATGTATACGGCTTTTGTCCCCGACATATATATATATATATATATATATATATATATATATATATATATATATATATATATTTATATATTATTTATTTTTCACCATAGAGGATTGGTAGAATACTCAGAAAAGCTGAGTCTTTTCTGCAACAGTGCTGACACGTTTTGTTATATAGCGACATAGATTAACTGGATTGTTATGGTGATATTTAGATAATCTTTAATATGTTCATGTTACCATAGGATACAAGGCACATTCAACAAAGTCCTTGTCCTCCTCTTAGGCAGCTGCATCTCCCATCTATCATTTGCAGTTTATTTGAAAGAGATCTTATTTGCAGTTCATTTGCATCCTGGTCCACCTTAAGACTTCTTCAAGTGTTATAGATTGTGCATAGCCTCCTCAGCTGGTGCTTAGTTTGGCTGCCCTATTTTACAATATATTCCTCTTTCTAAATAAATATTACATGCTACATTTTCCAGAAGTTTTAGTGTTTTACTTTTTTCCACTCTGAGGTGTTTGCCTGGGTATTACCCATGCTTAATGCTGTCATGGTAAGCCAGTGAAACAGAAAATGTATTAATTTTGTAGTTAATTTTGTATTTGTATTAATTTAACTTTTTTTTTTATTTTTTTTTTTTATTTTTTCTGGCTGTATTCCATGGAAGCATTGGTTCATCATCCCTTGTTTGGGTTATTTTGTCATTGTTGGTGATTGCAAGTCACAACTGGGGATCAGCCCTAGGGCAATCCCTCTTATAATGTTAAATTATGTTCTGTCGATTGGTGTGAGAAGGAATAGCTACCCATTGCCATTGTTTCCACATAATATAACCGAGAAAAGAAAATTACAAAGTGAGAAATGCTTGTAGAAATAATTTCTAACTAAAAATGTGAACAGATGCATGGCTATTTATGATGAATATTTCTTATTTTGTACAATTATCAGAACATTTCATATTATAAGTATATGTTGTTTCTGTTTCTAATTCCAGGACTTGTTAGTGGTTTTCCCATTATCTCTTTGCTTGGACTTTTTCCTCAAATCGACACATTCAGTACGTATGTAATGGAACAAATAGACACCCTGGTCTTTGGTGGTTCAGGTATGTTCAATATAGTTTATTTTATTTTTTAAAGAGAATTTACAGTTATATTGTTAAAGTAGGTTGAAAAATTGTATCAAGTTCAGCCTTAACAATTCATATTTGATATTTTTGATCCACAAGAATGACTACAAAATGCTAAACAATGAACAATTTCATATCAATTTACGAGTCTGCTATTGGAAATTTTAGATTCTAAGTAGTGGTGTCAAATACTAATGGGGGTTATACACTAAAGACTAGATTTTGAGCAGATGGGCAAAATCCAGTGAAAATGACTACATTTTGACCACAATGGCAATTCTCATATGTACTAAAGCCAAATGTGGTCAGAACATGTTTAACCCGAGATAATCTGCAACAATTGCACGGATACATTTGGTGTATGAATTTAAATCTGTGATTATGCATCCAAATCGAATACATTTTTAATAAAATATGGTAATGCATGCATCCACCAGGATGCACATACATAAATTATTGTTCATTTGCAAGCAAACAATAATTTTAAGTATTATTTGTAATGCAGTAATATGTGTTAATTATGCATTTTGTAGCACACACTAAGATATTAAAGATCGTCCACTAATGTGATTAGTGTACTGTGATATTACAGAGCCCTCAGCAAGCCCCTTGTAATGTGTAGAGTATACTTGGAGATTCTAAAGCCCCTCGTAGATTGACCATACACTTATGCTAACACATCCACATACTTATTACACAAGTACATACACTTAAGCATAGAATGCGCACAGACTAATACACACTGACATATTTACACACACTACAAATAGTAACATATCTATGCATACAGATACACACTGACATATTTACACACACCATCAAATACATATTTTTACACACAGTAACATAGATATATACACTAACATATTACACACACAAGGATCATCACTGGCATGTTTATGCAGGAAAAACTATTAATTGTGTCACATATTCTGAGACTGTTAAACTAAAACAAAACAAAAATACAAAACATGCTTAAGCTGACTATCAGTCCAAACCTCGGAAGTCCATGGTATTAATAGAATCTCAGTAGCAACATTAGAAATAGAGGAGAAGAGAAAAAACAAACAAACAAAAAAAAACACAACAGAACTGGTCGGTATAACTAATCTGTCTTCCCATGAATTAACTAATGATGAGATTAAAGTGTTAAATAAGAGATTAAAATTTGAACCTTTAAGGGATATTAACCCCTTTAAAGCACCCCCATATAGCAGGCACCCAAGGTCAATGCTTATTTAGCCTTATGGGGCACAAGGCCCTGTTTAAATGTCACATAACTGCATATGCACTATAAACATTGCTCTAGTTTCTGTATCTTACACATAGACACAGTGTCAAAACAATGCATATGCACCATAAACATTGCTCTAGTCCAGGGATAGGCAACCTTTGGCACTCCAGATGTTTTAGACTTCATCCCCCATAATGCTCTTACCCCCGAATATTAGCAAAACATCATGGGAGGTGTAGTCCAAAACATCTGGAGTGCCAAAGGTTGCCTATGCCTGCTCTAGTCTATGTATTTTACACATAGACACTGTGTCAAAAATACCAAGATCACAACATGGCCTATCGAGGGGGGTGTACTAGGCCTGATGGTGGTCCCCTCTTGCAAAACCTTTGTTTAGTACAGGGCTCAAAATTACCACTCACAATCTTGAGTGACAATTTCAAGCCCCTTGTAAGAAAGTTTCCTATTCTGTTTGTTAAGAGCAAAGTCCCAGCTAGGTGTGTGTAGTGTAGCTGCAGAGACAGGGATGTTGGTATAGAGTTCTCTCTGGCACAGTGCTGATAGTAGAGTGATTTACCGTGCAAAGCTGTGATTGTCTGGCATTAAATTACACTGTGACTTTCTCTTTTTTTCTCTGTAACTGGCATGTCATTCAGGAAGCTACAGAAAAAGCTTCCCTTGGGGAACTCTTCTGTGGCCTCTATCACAAATGTGCTGAAGCCTACACAGCTAATCTGGAATCACTGGGCTCCCCAACATCCATGGGATCACAGCACAGCAGTACGGAAGGTGCCAATGAAAGACTTCGTGGTAGGAGACATTGAAAGATCAGCCAATGGCGCGGCCACATAGTGAATTGGAGGATCTTTCAAATAGGGCATGGAAGAACAACCTAAAAGTAAGGGGTGAGCTTGACAGTGTGGAGGAGGCTGCTGTTTTTAAGGCCCACTCTGCCTGATATTCCGGAGAACCTGTGGCATAAGCACTGGGGGCCTGGAGAGCTTCAAACAGCCCTCCAAGAGATGTTAAGTGTCTTCATTTTTAGCAAATGTAGAGGTTTGCAAGGTTTTCCCCTTTTCATATAGAGGTGTGAACCTGCAAATGTTGCATGGCTTAGTTCCAACTATAATGCAGAAGAGGAGGAAATTAAAGTTGATATTGAATTTACTAAGATCCTACAACGTTGGATTTTTGTGGGTACACCTGTAAAAGATTCTGGTGTTTCAAGGTGGTCAACCTAAAGTTTTAATGCCACATAATAAGGGATTTTCTTCTGGAACTGGGTATTAAAATACCAGAATGCTTCAGAGTTCCAGACCAGGACCCTCATGGCTTGGGCCCAAATGGAAAGCTGACACAATGTCCCCCAGAAAGTGCACTTGTTTAACCTTTCATAAATGTTTATTTTTTTTATTTTTTTTTCAAGTGCATCTGAGAGAAGTCAAGAAAGCAGGATGAAGGGAAATGGAGGAGCTCGGCTCAGCTACGGTCACCTGTGAGCTTACCTGAATGTACATAGTTATAGTACATTATAGTAATAAAATGTTATAGGTATTAGATTGCATTAAAGGTGGGGATCTGTAGTTGGGAGTAGACGCAATGGAAGAGACATGCAAAAAAAAAAAAAAAACAACAATACTGATTTATGATATAGATATGATTATTTTGGCATAGATTACTTTGTCTCTAAAGATCTAAGTCACTCCTAGATAGTGCCAGCTTATGTTTAATACTGACAGTTACAGGCTGGAAAAGAGGGGGACCAAATGTGTTTTCTGCTACAGATTGGTTTATTGTTGAATAGCTCACTTAGTAGAGGTCAGGAAGATCATATATCCTCCTAGACAAGTACAATATACCTTTAGCATAAGCAATTACAGGCCGGAAGATAAAAGGGGAAAAAATAGAAAGCCACACTCGCAAACAGAACAGGGCACATGCACTAACTCCAGCATATGACCAGGACACCCCTAGCAATAGTTCAGGTCCAGGAAATGGTTTGTCTTGAAAAAATAAACAAGAAATAAAGAGACATGTGTCTAATATTAAAGAATGTGATGGACCCTCCATCAATCGATGCTCCTAGTGCTTACCAAGGACCATCAGCACTGCACCAGACACCAAAAGCACTGCATATCCCATGAACCACTGCAGCTTGGCTGGAAAATCACAATCCTCTACCCATCCTGGACCTACGATAAGGCTCCAGGTTCCAGTGGGTGAACCTCTCCTGATTAAAGTAGCAGGAACAAGCTCTTAAAAGAGCTTAGTGAGTACAGCCCAAGGGAGTATACAGAGTATAGCAATCCCCCAGTGAAGAAGCAGCCTTTCCCCCCACACATGAGATGAGGCTCTATGTTGAGGGTAAAACAGGAACTCAGCAGATCTGATGGTTTATTGAACAGCTTGGTCTTTTATACAGTTTTCTCTACAAGGTTACTACCTAGGTGGACCTTGTGGGGCACAGGGACACAGGAACAACAAGGCAATAAAAACATAGTTTTACATTCAGTCACTCCCATACAGTGTACACAATCAGTCCTCTCTGTCTGTGATATAATTAATGAAGACAATGGACTAACTCCATTAACTCTAAACAGAAAAAACATGCATTTTTACAAACCCCCAAAAGTACCCCATAATACAACATATCCTCACACATCCCCTGATAGCCCTGATCTAGGTGAACAACATATCCAAAAATCACCCATTTCAGTTTAGGGGTTCAGAAATTTCCTGGAAGTCTTATTTTTGCCCCACCGCACGCATGGTCCCATGCCCAAAACAGTTCCATACACTTGACGACAAAACACCCCTGGACAATTTAAGATGGCCACCACCACATGTTTGAATCTGTTCCAGTTAAAAGTCCAAAGGGCAGAAACAGTGTTTTAAAACCTGATATGCCCAATTAGTGCTTTTAAAGGGCAATACATCCCAGGGGCCATAGTCACAGGGCAAGAGGCTGGCAAGCAGGTCTCTTCAAAACCCAGTGGTGAGGTTACTTTTGCCACAAAGAACACACCAACATTGATTTTACTATTAGAGATCAACTAACTTGCTTTTCGAAAGGGGTTATTTATGTATTAAAGTGTCAGTGCAAAGAAAAACTGTATAACAACAGAATGGAAATACAACCTATTTATAAAAGTCAAACTAAATAACACTCTGCTCATGCTGGCAACTGTATATGCCCCAAACACCAAACAAGTATCCTTTATAAACTCATGCCTTAGGAAACTAGACAACTTTGCAGAGGGAGTAACCGTAATTGGGGGGGAACTGGAATATGGTCCTAGACCACTCCACAGACCGCTCAACAACAAGCAAAGACACACAGAAACATCAATGAGCTCTCTTTCAGAGAACACTTCACGCCAACCAAATGGTAGACTGCTGGAGAATATCACACCCACAAGAGAAGGACTATAGTTACTACTCTCAGGTAGCACATAGCTACTCCAGACTTGATATGTTCTTCCTAGGTCATAGACACCTGCAGCTACTAAAAGAAGCATCAATTGGACATATCATATGGTCTGATCACGCTCCAGTGTTCCTCACACTATCCCTTACCGGAATGAGCACACCCGCCAACTCATGGCATATTAATGAATTCCTGCTCGACGACCCCAGAGTGACCAATGACCTCAATGAATCCCTCCCTAGGTACTTCTTAGAAAATGAAAACAAAGGTACAGCTGACACATGGGTGTGGGAAGCACATAAAGGTATAACCCGTGGGATCCTGATTTAATGGGGGCTCGCATTAAAAAAGAACGCCTAGCGAAGGTCAAGTCACTCTCAGACGATATAGCTAGAGAAGAAACAAAGCACAAAACTAACCCGTCAGTGGAAGCATTCAACACATTAACAGCACTACGAATAGAATTACACAACATACTTACAATAAATGCACATCGAGTAGTTCACTTAACCAGAGGGACATTCTATGCACATGGAAACAAGTGGGAAATACTTAGCCAGGGCCCTAAAAGATAAACACCAAAAAACGTACATCTCATCACATATAAAGGCAACTAATGGCACACGCCAAGACAAAACCGAGGACATGGCCAAAAGCTTCCGAGGTTACTACAGTAATCTACATAATGTAGGCCCACCGAGAAGTCCCCTACATGAAATAAAAAGATATATCTCTTCCCACACCCAGAAAACCATAGATCCTCATCAATCAACCCTCTTAGATTTACCCATCCAAGCCGAGGAATTACAAAAAGTGATAAAAACACTTCCTAAAGGTAAAAGCCCAGGACCAGATGGCCTAACAACCAGATATTCTCAATCTTTCCAACGCATCCTAGCTCCCCATTACTTGAAGGTGCTTAATAATAATAATAATAATAATAAAGACCTGACCATATGCAGTAGCTACAGACCCATATCCCTAATTAACGTAGACATTAAACTGTTTGCAAAAATCCTAGCCAACCGAATTAAGAACCTCCTACCTGATTTGATCCATACGGCCTCTATAAAATGAACTATCTGCCATTGCTAAATAACATTGACTCACAGTTGAAACAATGGGACAAACCTCACTTCTCACTATTCGGAAGGGTCAACATCATTAAGATGATGATGCTGCCAAAAATTCCTTATTTATTTCAAACCCTCCCCATAGAGCTAGGGCGCACATTTTTTTCCACATGCTGAAAAAATCCCTTCTCTCCTTTATATGGGGACTTAAAAAATCACGACTGGCATATGAAGTCCTCACACGAAACAAGAGAGGAGGCTTAGGCCTACCCCACATATATAAATATTACATAGCGGTCCTCCTTACAAGAATGAGGGAGTGGGCTTACACAACACACAAAATAGCCTGGTATGACATAGAACAAAGCACTTGCCACGCTCCCCTTGCAAACATGCCACCTACAACTGAAAGCAAAACAAACGCACCCCCTTATCCACCATATCCTGAAGAAATGGAAGATACACAAAACGCCATGGGAATTGTCACCAGGCATTTCCCCGTTATATCCACTAGCCCATAACCCAGATATCCTGGGGGGCAGGGGAGCTCCAACCATAGCTCCAACCATAGTGAAACTAACAGGGACACCAAATCTACAACTCAGTGACTTACTGATAGAAGACACACACCCCAAAATCTGACACCTACAACACCCCGGAGGCCACCATTCACTGACAGAAGCATTGAGATGCTCACAACTGAGACACTCCCTGACACAAAATGTTCTACCACATTGGACCCCTAGGGGGCTGACTCTCT